TTTATTTTTATTTTCTTCTTCTGCATCTCTCTTCCCCTCTCGCTCCTTCCGACTCCGACTCCCCGTTCAAACACAAACCCAAACATTTTCATCTCCTTCCCCAAATCAACATGATCATCCATTAATCTTAATTCGCACCCAAGCCCTTAGAACCCTCAAACCCAGTTTGGGTTCGACATTTCCGGCGACTTTCAGAGGTTTTCCGGTGGCGGCCGGCTCTGCAACCGCAACTATTCGACTCATAGAGTCCCAACAACATCATTTGAGCTTTGCATGCTCGAATCTACCCCTTGATCGAAGATTTCCATAAGTCCAGCTTACGGTAGGTTTTTCCTACGAAGATCCGATTTTTTTGGGGCCAATTTCAGGCCTTTCATACCTTTTTTGGGTCCGGCGAAGGTAATATTTTTACTCTACACCTTCGAATTAGATTTCGTTGTGAGCTAATCGAAGTCTGTTTTCCGGCAAATTTTTTTTTCAAAAACCAGCGATAATTTCTCCGCATTATATATTGGGTAAATCTCAGTTTACTTCGCTCAAGTTTCGTGGTTTTCAACATTTGATACATGAAGTTTTTTTCATCCCAGAGTTATACCTAAAATGTTAATTTTACGATAATGTCGTACATCCGTTAATCTGAATGTTAAATCTCCCGTTAATTGATGACATGACATCCATGTGGATGATGATTGAGTGTCATGTGTCATTAAAAAAAATTTAATTAAATAAAAGTATTAAAAAAAAAAATAGAACCCAGAACACTCAGAAGCCAGAACCCTTCATCCTTTCTACAGCATTGTTGCAAATGAGCCTCGATGACATCAACAGCTCCGCGAACCAGACCGAGTCCAACCAGAAATCTCGTTCCGTTCGAAATCAATCCCCTAGCGGTGAAGTAACTCGACCGAGTCATGCGCGTGGGCGTCCTGCCCGACGTCGAAGTCCCGGAAATTGAATTCCTATATGTACAGATTCTTGGTCCCCAAATCCGACAGATTTCCTCTGTCGTCCGAGAAGGTGAGGCCGACCTAGATCAAATTGAGGTCATCGACGTTGACCTTGAGCATGAGGTAGTGTGCGGCGAGCTCGCGGTGGTAGAAATTGGGATCGTTAGAGTCGGATCGGACCACAATGCTCAAGAATTCGATGTCCATGGAAATCAAAGGGTAATCATCTCAAACTCGAGGTTATCAGACCACACCGAGCGGATCAGGATGTCTCGTGGCAGCAAAGGCTTGGGTGGAGGCAAGGGCGGATCCACATAGGCACCTAGAAGGTCCCAGGACCCGTTGTCGATTCTAAATCACTACTATAAATTTTTCGAGGATCCCTCGTACTTGAGTATGAGGTCTGTGCAGGTGGTAGGTTGCAGGTTGTTGTGGTTGTCTTCTTCTTATAGAAGATGACCACGCACGGAGAAGAAAGAAAATAGGACCCTTCCTGCCTCTCTCCTCCTTGCTTCTGCCATGGTCTCATCCGTCGGTGCCACCCACTTCTCCTCCAACCTTTCTCTGTCGTTTGGCGGGGGCAGTACATAAGCCCAAATTTCTCCAAATTATTTCAACCATCTTGGTAATTTTTCTTATGGGTGAAATTTCCTTCGTAAGGTTAATAAGATGGATATGATCTGTCATGGGTTGGTGAAATTTGCGGGTGGAGCTGCCATGGCTTCGGGAGAATGGGGAGGGAGGCGGTTGGTGAAGGTATGGCAGCTTTATTCTTAGTGAGAGAGAAGGTGGATGTTTGGAAACTAGTAAAAGAGAAAAATGGTATGTTTGATTGGAAAGATAGTGAGAGTTTGGGGAGAGTTTTATTTGACCGGTGTTTTAAATTTTGTGGTTCATATTAGATAATCAATAACCTATGTACTCCCTAGTAACTTATGAAACCTCGTAATGGCAATAGAAGAAACAACTTTAATTGAAGTGATGTTCTCATTTACAATGTCTCTGACGATGCAAGTATTGAGCCAACAACTCCACAAACATTGTTAAGGGAAATTACTATGCCCACAACTGCGGTTTCATCTTTTATGTCAACACCAGACACAACTGCAGAATCCCACAAGCGAAAAAGAGAGTCGGTGAGAAGACCTCTTTTTATTGGTAAAGAACAAAGGTTTGTTTGCTATCTTTCCTTTGTACAGGTTTTAAACTATTCTCTGTTCATTTTTTCTAACATTTGTTATCGATTTGAAACATTAATGTAGAAGATATATCAAGACCAAGTGAAAAAAGACTTTGATCAAATTCCCATCAAGCTGTTAAAAAAATAAAAAAATAAAAAATCACCTCCCACTCCTCGAAAGGCAGATTTGACTCTTCCAAAAAAACAATAGGTGACAATACTCTACCATCAGTTTTTCTTTTGATCTAAATTTATTGAAGCATAAATTTAATGCCTATCTAAATGTTTCCCATTCTTTTCCTTTGTTTAGGTTGGTTTCTCCATTGTGAAAAATACTCTACTATCACTTTGGGTACTCTAGGTGAAAATTTTTCCAGCTTTTCCTAATTTGCATCAGACAATGCTTCTAATATTTTTTTGGGATGTAAATAGTCCTTGGTGATAAACATTGTATGGTATTTTTTGCATGTACATACACCAGCGCTTTGTAATGTTTTCTAAGTGTTGCTGCTCACCGAAATTACATAGAACTCCTAGAATACAATAGATGGGTGTAATATTTTTTGCCTGCAGATGTACACAGATTTGACAGCCTTTTGTATGCAAATGTTGCTGTTGATGGAAAATTATGTATAATTGCTGCAACAAAATGGATGACTGTCGTGTATTTTGCATATGGACAAATAACAATGCCACTCTTTTAAACATACATTGCACCAGCTAAATCTTTAGGCTGCAAAATATTTTAAATCTTTGTTATAAACAATGTTAATGCTTTAAGCCACCATCTCTACATCTTTTGAACACATCGTTTCATATAATTTTCGAACCCGTAGTATCGGGCACTACTAGCTAGTATACACTCAAACCCAAATTGTTTCACTGTTCATAAGCATAGTGTGATTCCCATTTGCCCTTGCCATGTTTGTGTTATTACTTCTTCTGCCACTATCTCAGAAAATATAAATACACTTTATTTTTATTTTCTTCTTCTGCATCTCTCTTCCCCTCTCGCTCCTTCCGACTCCGACTCCCCGTTCAAACACAAACCCAAACATTTTCATCTCCTTCCCCAAATCAACATGATCATCCATTAATCTTAATTCGCACCCAAGCCCTTAGAACCCTCAAACCCAGTTTGGGTTCGACATTTCCGGCGACTTTCAGAGGTTTTCCGGTGGCGGCCGGCTCTGCAACCGCAACTATTCGACTCATAGAGTCCCAACAACATCATTTGAGCTTTGCATGCTCGAATCTACCCCTTGATCGAAGATTTCCATAAGTCCAGCTTACGGTAGGTTTTTCCTACGAAGATCCGATTTTTTTGGGGCCAATTTCAGGCCTTTCATACCTTTTTTGGGTCCGGCGAAGGTAATATTTTTACTCTACACCTTCGAATTAGATTTCGTTGTGAGCTAATCGAAGTCTGTTTTCCGGCAAATTTTTTTTTCAAAAACCAGCGATAATTTCTCCGCATTATATATTGGGTAAATCTCAGTTTACTTCGCTCAAGTTTCGTGGTTTTCAACATTTGATACATGAAGTTTTTTTCATCCCAGAGTTATACCTAAAATGTTAATTTTACGATAATGTCGTACATCCGTTAATCTGAATGTTAAATCTCCCGTTAATTGATGACATGACATCCATGTGGATGATGATTGAGTGTCATGTGTCATTAAAAAAATTTAATTAAATAAAAGTATTAAAAAAAAAAATAGAACCCAGAACACTCAGAAGCCAGAACCCTTCATCCTTTCTACAGCATTGTTGCAAATGAGCCTCGATGACATCAACAGCTCCGCGAACCAGACCGAGTCCAACCAGAAATCTCGTTCCGTTCGAAATCAATCCCCTAGCGGTGAAGTAACTCGACCGAGTCATGCGCGTGGGCGTCCTGCCCGACGTCGAAGTCCCGGAAATTGAATTCCTATATGTACAGATTCTTGGTCCCCAAATCCGACAGATTTCCTCTGTCGTCCGAGAAGGTGAGGCCGACCTAGATCAAATTGAGGTCATCGACGTTGACCTTGAGCATGAGGTAGTGTGCGGCGAGCTCGCGGTGGTAGAAATTGGGATCGTTAGAGTCGGATCGGACCACAATGCTCAAGAATTCGATGTCCATGGAAATCAAAGGGTAATCATCTCAAACTCGAGGTTATCAGACCACACCGAGCGGATCAGGATGTCTCGTGGCAGCAAAGGCTTGGGTGGAGGCAAGGGCGGATCCACATAGGCACCTAGAAGGTCCCAGGACCCGTTGTCGATTCTAAATCACTACTATAAATTTTTCGAGGATCCCTCGTACTTGAGTATGAGGTCTGTGCAGGTGGTAGGTTGCAGGTTGTTGTGGTTGTCTTCTTCTTATAGAAGATGACCACGCACGGAGAAGAAAGAAAATAGGACCCTTCCTGCCTCTCTCCTCCTTGCTTCTGCCATGGTCTCATCCGTCGGTGCCACCCACTTCTCCTCCAACCTTTCTCTGTCGTTTGGCGGGGGCAGTACATAAGCCCAAATTTCTCCAAATTATTTCAACCATCTTGGTAATTTTTCTTATGGGTGAAATTTCCTTCGTAAGGTTAATAAGATGGATATGATCTGTCATGGGTTGGTGAAATTTGCGGGTGGAGCTGCCATGGCTTCGGGAGAATGGGGAGGGAGGCGGTTGGTGAAGGTATGGCAGCTTTATTCTTAGTGAGAGAGAAGGTGGATGTTTGGAAACTAGTAAAAGAGAAAAATGGTATGTTTGATTGGAAAGATAGTGAGAGTTTGGGGAGAGTTTTATTTGACCGGTGTTTTAAATTTTGTGGTTCATATTAGATAATCAATAACCTATGTACTCCCTAGTAACTTATGAAACCTCGTAATGGCAATAGAAGAAACAACTTTAATTGAAGTGATGTTCTCATTTACAATGTCTCTGACGATGCAAGTATTGAGCCAACAACTCCACAAACATTGTTAAGGGAAATTACTATGCCCACAACTGCGGTTTCATCTTTTATGTCAACACCAGACACAACTGCAGAATCCCACAAGCGAAAAAGAGAGTCGGTGAGAAGACCTCTTTTTATTGGTAAAGAACAAAGGTTTGTTTGCTATCTTTCCTTTGTACAGGTTTTAAACTATTCTCTGTTCATTTTTTCTAACATTTGTTATCGATTTGAAACATTAATGTAGAAGATATATCAAGACCAAGTGAAAAAAGACTTTGATCAAATTCCCATCAAGCTGTTAAAAAAATAAAAAAATAAAAAATCACCTCCCACTCCTCGAAAGGCAGATTTGACTCTTCCAAAAAAACAATAGGTGACAATACTCTACCATCAGTTTTTCTTTTGATCTAAATTTATTGAAGCATAAATTTAATGCCTATCTAAATGTTTCCCATTCTTTTCCTTTGTTTAGGTTGGTTTCTCCATTGTGAAAAATACTCTACTATCACTTTGGGTACTCTAGGTGAAAATTTTTCCAGCTTTTCCTAATTTGCATCAGACAATGCTTCTAATATTTTTTTGGGATGTAAATAGTCCTTGGTGATAAACATTGTATGGTATTTTTTGCATGTACATACACCAGCGCTTTGTAATGTTTTCTAAGTGTTGCTGCTCACCGAAATTACATAGAACTCCTAGAATACAATAGATGGGTGTAATATTTTTTGCCTGCAGATGTACACAGATTTGACAGCCTTTTGTATGCAAATGTTGCTGTTGATGGAAAATTATGTATAATTGCTGCAACAAAATGGATGACCGTCGTGTATTTTGCATATGGACAAATAACAATGCCACTCTTTTAAACATACATTGCACCAGCTAAATCTTTAGGCTGCAAAATATTTTAAATCGTTGTTATAAACAATGTTAATGCTTTAAGCCACCATCTCTACATCTTTTGAACACAGCGTTTCATATAATTTTCGAACCCGTAATATCGGGCACTACTAGCTAGTATACACTCAAATCCAAATTGTTTCACTATTCATAAGCATAGTGTGATTCCCATTTGCACTTGCCATGTTTGTGTTATTACTTCTTCTGCCACTATCTCAGAAAATATAAATACTTTATTTTTATTTTCTTCTTCTGCATCTCTCTTCCCCTCTCGCTCCTCCCGACTCTGACTCCCCGTTCGAACACAAACCCAAACATTTTCATCTCCTTCCCCAAATCAACACGATCATCCATTAATCTTAATTCGCACCCAAGCCTTTAGAACCCTTGAACCCAATTTGGGTTTGACATTCCCGGCGACTTTCAGAGGTTTTCCGGTGGCGGCCAGCTCTGCAACCGCAACTATTCGACTCATAGAGTCCCAACAACATCATTTGAGCTTTGCATGCTCGAATCTACCCCTCGATCGAAGATTTCCATAAGTCCAGCTTGCGGTAGGTTTTTCCTACGAAGATCCGATTTTTTGGGGGCCAATTTCAGGCCTTTCATACCTTTTTTGGGTCCGGCGAAGATAATATTTTTACTCTACACCTTCGAATTAGATTTCGTTGTGAGCTAATCGAAGTCTGTTTTCCGGCAAATTTTTTTTTCAAAAACCAGCGATAATTTCTCCACATTATATATTGGGTAAATCTCAGTTGACTTCCCTCAAGTTTCGTGGTTTTCAACATTTGATACATGAAGTTTTTTTCATCCTAGAGTCATACCTAAAATGTTAATTTTGCGATAATGTCGTACATCCGTTAGTCTGAATGTTAAATCTCTCGTTAATTGATGACGTGACATCCATGTGGATGATGATTGAGTGTCATGTGTCATTAAAAAAAATTTAATTAAATAAAAGTATTAAATAAAAAAATAGAACCCAGAACGCTCAGAAGCCAGAACCCTTCATCCCTTCTACAGCATTGTTGCAGATGAGCCTCGACGACATCAACAGCTCTGCGAACCAGACCGAGTCCAACCAGAAATCTCGTTCCGTTCGAAATCAATCCCCTAGCGGTGAAGTAACTCGACCGAGTCATGTGCGTGGGCGTCCTGCCCAACGTTGAAGTCCCGGAAATTGAATTCCTATATGTACAGATTCTTGGTCCCCAAATCCGACAGATTTCCTCTGTCGTCCGAGAAGGTGAGGCCGACCTAGATCAAATTGAGGTCATCGACGTTGACCTTGAGCATGAGGTAGTGTGCGGCGAGCTCGCGGTGGTAGAAATTAGGATCATTAGAGTCGGATCGGACCACAATGCTCGAGAATTCGATGTCCATGGAAATCAAAGGGTAATCATCTCAAACTCGAGGTTATCAGACCACACCGAGCGGATCAGGATGTCTCGTGGCAGCAAAGGCTTGGGTGGAGGCAAGGGCGGATCCACATAGGCACCTAGAAGGTCCCAGGACCCGTCGTCGATCCTAAATCACTACTATAAATTTTCCGAGGACCCCTCGTACTCGAGTATGAGGTCTGTGCAGGTTGTAGGTTGCAGGTTGTTGTGGTTGTCTTCTTCTTATAGAAGATGACCACGCACGGAGAAGAAAGAAAATAGGGACCCTTCCTGCCTCTCTCCTCCTTGCTTCTGCCATGGTCTCATCCGTCGGTGTCACCCACTTCTCCTCCAACCTTTCTCTGTCGTTTGGCAGGGGCAGTACATAAACCCAAATTTCTCCAAATTATTTCAACCATCTTGGTAATTTTTCTTATAGGTGAAATGTCCTTCATAAGGTTAGTAAGATGGATATGATCTGTCATGGGTTGGTGAAATTTGCGGGTGAAGCTGCCATGGCTTCGGGAGAATGGGGAGGGAGGCGGTTGGTGAAGGTATGGCAGCTTTGTTCTTAGTGAGAGAAAAGGTGGATGTTTGGAAACTAGTAAAAGAGAAAAATGGTATGTTTGGTTGGAAAGATAGTGAGAGTTTTATTTGACCGGTATTTTAAATTTTGTGGTTCATATTAGATAATCAATAACCTATGTACTCCCTAGTAACTTATGAAACCTCATAATGGATGCTTGAATTATGATTTTATAATTTGTAATATTGTTTTGCATATAATTTTTGAATGAAATGTATTATATTTAAATTTTCAATGTTATTTTTGTCTATAATTTTTTCGACCTTTATAATTGGGACTCTCCGAGTTTAAAATCCTGAATCCACCACTGGATGAAGGGGGGTCGGATGATGACAAAGGGGTTTGGGTGGGGAAGACAAAGGTGTTTTGGGTTATGGGTTATGGGGTTTTTTTTTATTTTTTAATTTTAAATTTTTTTAATGACACGTGGCGCCTAGTCATCGTCTACATGGGCTCCACATCATCAGTTAACGGGAGACTTAACAGCCAGACTAACGGATGTATAAGACTGTTCTAAAATTAACACTTTAGATATGACTCTAGGACGAAAAAAACTTCATGCACTAAATGTTGAAAATCACGAAACTTGAGGGTAGTAAACTGAGATTTACCCTTATATATATTCTATCCAATTTGGTGTTTAATTAAATATACAAAAGTGTTCTGTAGCACTATTAATCGGAATTGCACTCTTGATTTGTTATCTCACCGTGTAATGTAAACCCTAATTAAATATTGAATACATATATTTAAAAAAAAAGCATTAATACGAAAAAATTTGGTAACTTTTACTTAGGATTTTTAGAAATGGATCAAATGAGAATTGATCCCTCAGATCAAACAGTGATTCCATTGGCAAATCTCTATTAATCGAACTATTGGTATTGAAATCAACCCTAACTATTTCACAGATCAAATAGTGCATTCATTTTAATGGGTTTGCACTCTTAATAGTTGTTCTTTTGAATTCTTGCTGTTATGTCTACATATCTTTTACAATTCAGTTATTTTAGGCAGGGTCACCAATGAGAATTACTGTTTTGCGTTGTGAAGATTATCATGCCATTTAACAATCCTCGGTTGTTGACTTAAAATAAAACTTCCCCAATGGAAAATTCTTCTCTCTTCCTTACATTCGGAATTTAACAGGTTCACTCATACCCAATTTACCGACAAAAAATTTGATATTGATCTCGAAAATATGAAAACCCAGTAATACTAGATTCTTATAGTTCCATGTCTGTGTCAGTGTGTGTATATATATGGGGGAGGTAAGGCATAGATGCACGGATTATTAAGGAAATAGAAAAGCTGCTCTTACTTGATGCTATGTCTCCGTCTTTTTGCTTGCTTGAATCTGCATTCTTGTGATTTCTAACTTGTCAATTTTTTTATTTTAGTTTTATTGATTTGATTTGGAGGATTTTCTAAGATTGGCTTCAATTGAGTTACAATTTAATCTCATTATTTTGATTCTAATTCAATAAATTTGTGTAACGTAGAGTTTTCTGTTGGAGAATAAATTTTCTTCATAGTTCAGTCAGTCTTCAGTGTTCCAGTTTTGCAGTTCCGTTAAGATGTGCATATATTGAAATATAAAAAGTACAAGCTTCCAAACGTAAACTCTTTGCATGGAAACCAAATTTTGTGTGTACTTTAACCATTATATAATCAAACTTCTCTACACCAAACTCTATGTGTATTATAACGATTATACTTGGTTAGGATATATTTTTACTTTGATAGTGAATTATAAGAACTGTGGCTTCCTTGCAAGTCCTTTTTGGATAATGCATCTACGAATTTGAATAATTACCGAAGATTTGCTAAATAATACAAACTTTTGGGACGGAAGATTTCTTGCGTTCTTTTAATGCAACCAATTGGATTGCCTCTTCAATCAATTTGGCCAAATGAAAATTTTTGTAATCAAGAATTTATTTTAATGTCAAACTTTAAAAATGTAAAAATCTAATTGAGTTCTTTTCATGCAGGCAATAAGTTTTCTTTTTCAATCAATTCCTTCTTTCTAAAGTTATTCTCAACAGTAAATCACTAGATTTGTTTTACTGAATTTGACCAAATGTATAATTGTTTGGATGCGTTCCAATATATCCTAAGCCTTTGAGCAGATTCTTGGTCATTACAACAGTACAAACCTTCTTAATTTGTTTCATTTTTCATCGTTATAGAACTCGGTAGATTTTTTTGGTTTTCTCTCTTGATCACAAACAGATGTTCGTTTGTACAATTGAATTGGGGTAGGAATATTAGGGCCTATTATTTTTTTCATTATCACGGTTGTTTTAAAAAAAAGGAACTCATTGCCTAATTGTTATTTCATCATTTTTTTTTCCTGTTTTCCTACCTTAGATGGGTGATAACTGTTTTGGAAGTATTTCAAAACTGCTTTGACTCTCATTTCTGTAAAAAAAAGATTGCACATTAGTTACAAATTGTAGGTTTTGAAACTTGCACTTCTGTGGTATGATTAGTGTTCATTTTCCTTATTTATTTACAGTTTATAATCGTGATTGAAAAATTAAAATCTAAATTACAATAAAATCTTCTTTGTCAACTAAAAGAGGATAAAAAGACAATTTTATCTTCTACCACAAAACAAAATCATGGGCGTTAAAGTAAATTTACACAAATTAAATTTTACGGTTTTTTTCAAAGCTTCACCCAGGGGTGATTCTAACATCTTCTAATTTTGAAAAATAAAATATAAAAAAAGAAATTTCTCTCTCTAATCAACATTCATTTTTCTCCCTTTCTCCTTCCCATTTTAAAATAAAAATAAAAATTATTTTCACACACAAAGTGTGGGCATATGCTAGTTTTATTTAGGGAGTTTTAACGAAAAGCCCGTGGTATTGTTCATTTTAATAAAAAATCATATTTTTACACTAAAAAGTCAAGCCTGATATTATTCACTTTACCTTTATTTTGTCCTTATCATTAAAAC